ACACCACTTATTGTTTAACCTTCCATTTCCTTCTAAATTAATATACTGAAAACCATTCCTTTATGTATTCATGATTCCTAAAGACCATACTCAACTATTTTTTAAATTCTCTTTATTGTGGCACTGATTTTGTAGGATTATGAAATCCATTCCTCTGAATCTAATATCACTGATTCCCACACAATACCCCTCTGGAGTTATAACATTTTCCTTCTCTTTGGATATATATTTTTTTAGAGTAGAAGTTTCTCAGAATTCTGATTCAACTAATTCTTTGACCTAGCCATTTACTTGTTGTAAAACTTTAAACAAATAACCTCTCTCTCTGTCAGTATCAGCTGCTTAATATGTTTCCTATCTATGGAATAATGATATTCATCTAAATGTTATGGTAAATATTTAAGGTCATGATTGGTATTATTGGTTTAAATTCAACTTTACTACAGAAATACAACTTAAAGATGTAGATGATGTTGACAAAATAGTAATGATATTTGCCTTATTTTTAAAGTATATTCTGTGCTTTCCCAAAAAAATTCTTGTCATTCAAGGCTAACCTTTCTGCCAGCTTAATCTTTATCTGCATCTAATAAGTAAGTGGTACCCAAATGCTAAAATGCTTAAATGCTAAACAATTATTAATTAATCGCAAATTTAGTTAATATTATCCTGCTAATAAACTAGCAAATCTTTAATCTTCTTCTTTATCTCATCCTTGAATTTTGAGGTGTTTTAATCTTCTTGGGAGATTTCTTTGACGGAAATCTTTCACTCACTTTCCAATAGTATTTTTGATGTCTCCTTCTTTCTAGACTTTTAAACATTTTTCTTTCTAGACTTTTTGCATTAGAAGGAACGTTATGGAATATCACAATTTTAGAAATGGAAAAATTTCGAACTCTATTTCCAGATGGGTGTACATATATTATTGATAAGTCCATATATTAAAGAATGATTTCTATATATTCATGTTTGATACATTTATCCTTGATCATAAGCAAAGAATTCTCCTTCCATCTCTCATTTACAAGCAAAAGTAATCTTAAAATATCCCCCATCCCTCTTTTTGATATCTTACAGAACTTTCAGGCCCTAGGCCTCTTCCATCTATGATCTGAGTAGCGAAGATGTTCACACTGTGGATCTCAGCTCATGACTCCCCATCATCAGAAGCTAAGTGGGGGCTGGAAACTCAGTGTAACACCTAAGTGTTTGTGTCACTGCAAGACCAGCACTCTGTGACAGAGTGACATACACTCAGAGCAGCAGAGTCCCTTCCCCATGGGGATCAGGAGGGCCAGAGTCACTGGTACTAGATCATGCATCCCCAGGGGGATCAACACTTTTACCAGGACTAGGAAGCCCAGTGGGTGAAAGGAGACAACCACACAGGCTCAGACCTTTGACCCTCCTCAAGAGGTGAACAAGGAGTCCCAGGAACACCTCCTCCCTATGTAGAAAGGTAACATCCTGGTCTCCTCTGGCTCCTTTGGATTCAGTCATCTCATTGTGCATTTTATCATGATTTAAATCAGTCATTAAACCAACTTGAATATTTCTTCATCCTTTGCATTCCAAGATTCACAAAACTTTGTGCACCTCCTAGTATGATCCCTTTTTTTCCGCTTCCCAATTCTTAAAAAGTGTCTACTTTTCTTTGTGGAATTTTGGTTCTCTGACAGTAAAATCCTCCAAATCCACACCTATTCTGACTTCCCCTTTACTTTCTTCCTTATCTTTTCTCTTGAATGCTAGACTTGTATATTCAACTGTCCACTTGACATCAAACTACACATTTTAAACTCAACATACCTAAACTTAGCCCTAACTTTCCACTAATCAACACACACACACACACACACACACACACACAGACATGAGCACATGCACACACAGACTTCTCCATCTCTATGTATAGTAACTCTATTCAGTTACTCAGGTCAAAAATCTGGTTGATTCTTCTCTTTCTTTTTTTGAAGAAGATTAGCCCTGAGTTAACATCTGCCAATCCTCCTCCTTTTTCTGAGGAAGACTGGCCCTGAGCTAACAGTCATGCCCATCTTCCTCTACTTTATATGTGGGACACCTACCACAGCATGACTTGCCAAGTGGTGACATGGCTTGCCAAGTAGTGCCATGTCCACATCTGGGATCTGGTTGGTGAACCCCGGGCTGCCAAAGCAGAACATGAGCACTTTACTGCCATGGCACCAGGCAGGGCCCTGGTTCCTCTCTTGATTTCACTACCCCACATCTAGTCCATTAGCACACCTTATTGGCTCTGCCTTCAGAATACATCTAGAGTTCAGTCAGCCCTAACCACTCCACTTCTATAAAACCAGGGAGAGCTTCCATCCTCTCCCTTTGAATCTCTACGTTGATTTCTTAACAGTTACCATGGTTGTACTCTGATATCTCCCATATGCATTCTCAAATGTGGCAGCTGAACTGATCCTTTTAGCATCCAAGATGGTAACACCACTGCAATGACCTATCATTCAACCTAAATTTAAAGACAAAAACTTTACAATGAACCCTCAGACCCTAAGGATGTAGACAACAGTTTCTTCTCTGATTCTGACTTCTTCTCCTTACTTCTCTTTTCATCCTGCTCCCTCTATCATGGCTTCTTGGCTGGGTAATTTCCACCATGGGGTCCTTATCAAAGATGTGCCCTCTACATACAATTCTCCTTCCCCAGGTGTCTCCTCTACTCATTCCCTTTCCTCCTTTAAGCCTGCTCAAATCCAGCTTCTCAATGAGGACTATACAACACTGCATATCTCAGATTCTACTCAGAATACCTTCTCCCAGTCCTTTTCTCCAAGGGCAATGAAGGGTGTTTTTTCTGATATAGTATTAATCAGTTTCTAATGTGTTATATTGCCATCTTATTTATTAAATTTATTCCATTTCTTTGCTTTTGCCCTTTCTTGGTAGAAATCAAGCACTATGTGGGGAGGGATATTTTCCTATTGATAACAGTTTGTTCAACATATCTCAAGAATCTCAGACCTTTGTAAATGGTTATCACTGAGTGCATATTTGTTGAATGAATGCATCATTGACTTTCTAGGAAGTGGAATTAAAAGATGGATTTGAAAGTGTTTTGTGGAATGTGATATATTCTAGTGGCAATATTATTATTATTATTTATAGTTAGATAATCACTGACCAATGAAGTCCAATGTCAAGTGCTAAACGAGTAAAATCAATTTTTATGTATAGAGAAAATTTGAATAGAGCGATGTTTGTAATGGTGATGAATTCCAGTGACACAATGACTTACCATGCCCCAGAGTAGTCTCATTGAGCCTCTTGTATTTTTGATTCCCTATGACATCACAATGACACCTTTGAATCATAAATTGCCTCATACTCACTCTATACACCACCTCTCAAAATGTCGTAGTCACCAGGAATGTGGGGGATGTTCTATAAAATTATGTGGACTAAAAACTTTTTTTTAAATTTACTGTTTTGTGCTTTATGTGCTCCTCTTCATCTGCTGCACAGGAGAGCCACTTTCTCTACCTGTGAGATATCCTGGGTCTGCTCTCCTCCCCATCACTTCCCTACTACTGTGCATTCCTCTGTTATTATACATCGGATTTTTTTCTAGCGCAAAACATTATAGTAGCTATAATCATAAATAATGATTAAAAAGTCAGCCCCCTACATTAGATTCTAGTTTTTCTGAAGCTGTAACTCTCTAGAGCTCTATCTACAGTTCAGCTGAATACTGGATGATTTATTCAAATAACTAATTTGGTCATTTCCCCCACCCCCACTCAGATGACTGGTTTGTCAAGTAAATTAATAAGCAAATAAGCTAACTATGTCCCTGAATGAAGGGAACCGAAAGGATGGTGATGTTTGGAGCTGGGAGAGAGCAGGAAGTAAAATAGCTTCATCAGCAGGAAGAAAATGCTAAGAAAATTCAAAGTGGCGATTTCAACTATTACTCTCCCAAAGGGCAGTGAAATTTGGAACACTGGGATTTATTAAACCCATCTGCTCTCCAAACACCATTCACATTTTTGTGTCCTTCTGGGGCCCTCTGAGGCTCTGCTCTCTCATTATGTGGGGAAGAGGGAAGCATGGATGTGGTCTGCATATTAATAGAACATATATTCTACAAATGTACAAGTTCTACACATTCACCTATATGGAGTATTCTCTTTACTCTCTGATTCTCTGACTATATCTACTCAAAAGTATGCAAATAATAATTTTGACTAATTCCTTAGTAAATTGACTTAAAATAGTCTTATTTTTCTCTGATATTACCTGACTGATTCTAGGGACTCTATTTCTATTAATTTATTTACTTATTATTTTTAAAATTTTAAGTTCTGTGGTATCAGTTTTGCTTCTACAAAAGCATTAAAATGTGATGGTCATATAAACAATCTAATAAATCAGGGTTTCATGATGCTTGCTCAATTTCCCTCTTAACTAGAGGGAAAAACTAACTGTTTTTGAAACTAAAATATAAATCCAGGTCTGCTGACATCTTCTTTGAAAATCCAAAAACAAAAGAAATAAAGGTAAATAAGTAGTTCACACTTTTAGCTCTTTTAACTTTCTATTAAATGATGTACCTGTGAATTTCTTCTACTATATAGGATAATGGGTTTATTTTTCATTCATAAAATTCTTAGTTAAAAAATGTCAAATTACTTTTCCCTTATTTTCAGTAGATTTAAGAAAAAAAAAGCATGATCCTGTTCCAGGAGGGATGGGACTGATTATGCCTCAATTCTTTCTTAGACACATGAGAATTCTTGGAAATGGGGAAAGAGCACATGACCATCAGTGTTTATGTTTTCAGAAAAACAATGGATTGAGTCCCCTATTTTATGTAACATGATGTAATAAATTATTTCCATAGCAAGGGACAAGTTATCATGGTCCTCATTTTCTGTGTTGACCCTATGTGAGATTGGAGAGTTTGATGCATGCCTACAGCACACTTCCATGTAAGTACTAATAGCGCCATGGGTTCAGAAGATTCCCCAGAACTTGGAGCTGTTGATGAACCCAGACCACCATCAGCATCCCTCTCTAGTCTGTCCTTGAGAGAGTTGCATCAAGTTGTCATTGCCATAAGAACTGCTGCACAAATATCATGGTCCATTACATTCATAGAGGAATGGGCCAAGCCCAGGAGTGACAATTTCATTTCCTCCCACATCTAGAATTGTACCTGGCTGGAGCACCTGTGTGCACTCAGGAGGAGAGAAGACATTTCCCATTCCCACCAAGGTCCTTCAACTAAATCTGCACCTTCTGGTTTTTGAACTTCAATGGTTTCTTGTAGCTTACAAATAAAAATGGTGAATAGATTTATAGATTTAGAAGCTCACTGCAGAAGTCTGTACTTTTCTGTTGGCTTGTTAAATATAAAAAGCCATATGGAGTTCCTCAAAGGGAAAGAAAAAAGAAAATGAGGAAATTTCTCCTTCATCTTGGAAAGTTTATGGATGATGACAGAAATACTAAGACAGAAATCTACACACAAGCACATACATCATGACTCATGCTATTTACTTTTAACACAGCAATAAATTTATCAGTGCGAAATGATGTTTAAAAGATGAAATATAGGGGCTGGCCCCATGGCCAAGTGGTTAAGTTTGCGCACTCTGCTGCAGGTGGCCCAATGTTTTGTTGGTTCGAATCCTGGTCATGGACATGGCATTGCTCATCAAACCACACTGAGGCAGCATCCCACATGCCACAACTAGAAGGACCTACAAGGAAGAATATACAACTATGTACCTGCGGGCTTTGGGGAGAAAAAGGAAAAAAAATAAAATCTTTAAAAAAAGATGAAATATAAAAGTGCTGAGGAAACAAAACACGAAGAAACACAAAATAGAAAGTGTTTTTTTTTTTATGTTGACACTGGTGTTTGTTAAGAGCGACTGAGATTTGTCAGGCAGATGTAAGAAAATGCAATCAGCAATGTGAGTTTCATTTTGAAAAAGATAGCATTGAAAAGGGTATTATCGATCTCATGGAGGGAGATGGGAAAATGTTAGCTCTTGACTGAGGTGATCTAGGCCTGCTCCCTGGTCTGAAAACATTGATTCCATTTCATATCGTCTGCAATTGCTGCCACATTTTTTCTGAGTTTAAAACTCTTTAGTCTTCAAGAATAAAAATGTTTTGGGAGTAAACTAAAATTTTTAACCATATGAACATTCACCCTCTAGGAACTGAAAAAAGGACATTTTGTTGACTTGTGGTTTGAGCTTGGGCATGTCTGAGGCGGCAGGTGCATTTGGGGGCAATAGTGTTCACATTCTTTGACCAGAACCTACAGGGAAACATATATTTTACCCTGCTGCACATTGGCAGCACACTCACTTCCAAATACACACATTGAACAAATCTTTTACAAAGCAATACTCCCCTTAATACAAGTGAGATGCTCTGCCATCTCCAATTCCAGACAAAATCATGCCTGAAAAACCATGAGTTGTCAATCATTGGTTTCATTCCCTGAACTTTCCATGTGTCACCACACACTTGTGTGTGAGGAGAGCTCAGGTCTCTCCAGTTCAGTACTTGAGAACACTTTTCAGCTTTTCTAGATTTGAGCAATGACAGGTAAATGCTTCCCTAAGGTAGGAAAGACTTGAACTGCCACATTAGCAATTAAGTATTCATTCTTCGAGATGCTACACTGAGTCCATGTATAAAAGATAAAAGAATGCCTATTGCCCTATCTCTCCTCTCACCAGGAGAGTGGTGATGAGTTCACATGACATACCATGAAATTTGCTGTGTGCAAGAACAAGTGAACATATGAAGATATTCGCAATGGCTGTGGAAGGTGCTTATAAAGTATAAATTGCAAGTGGAAAGGTGGGGAGAGTGGGAGGCTGTTAATACTGGACCAGTATGCTCAGAAGGACATCTAAACAGAGAAAAGCAAACATTATATTCCTGCTACAGTTTAAATTTAAAGGGAGAAAATATTTGTCCCTTCTTAGAACCATTCAGAAAGTGAAGGCCCTCTGTTTTCCACGTGAGAGATCTGTTTCTTCCATGGAAAGAGGTGTGTGTTAGCAGCAGGGCTGGTTGCAAGACAAGTGCTCCTGTCTTGTTCCAAGAGGAGGAAAGGGTAGCATCCTGTTTAAGAGCTGGAAAGATATGAGATATTAACAAGAACATGCTCTTTCAATTATTGCAAATCTTCCTATAAAGAAGCCCTTCTTCCCTCTGCATCAAAATTGAGAAAACCCATTCAGAAGCAGGTTGGAGCTCAAGTTATCATGAAAACCAAACTCTTGCCCTTTCACTGAGTTTGCCTTATTTTCAGATCCTCATTTTCACTTTTCTCTTATTTCAAAGGGTTCTCAATTTTAGGACCATGAAATGGTGCAGCAGTTTGTTGTGAAACACTGGCTTTATTATGGTGATTTAAAATTTGTTTCAGTCTGTTTTCCTTCCTAACTTCCTGTACTCCTTTCTGCTTTCATTCCTTTTCTAGCTTATTAATTAAAAAACATATATTTTTAAGAGGAATGGGACAATATCTCTGTAAAAGAATCATGACAAAGTTAAAAGGATAGATTAACAGATTAAAAGCATTATTTATAAGGAAATTTTCTAAATAATATATTATACTATATACATGCATATGCATTTTTAAAATTTCATAATAATTCAATTATTAGTTAATTATTTAATAAATAAAGGATCATGTACAAATGAAAATCTACCTTAAACCCCTTCTCAATCTCTAGAAGTGAGTCTTTTTTAAAAATTCAATGTATGCTTCCAGATATTTTTTCAATTTTAATATAAATATACGTATCTAGAGAGAGCTTTTGACTGAACAAATGGGATCACACTTCATATAATCTCACTAAACATTATATGTTGTCCTCCACTTGTTTGAAATTAATGGGACTTTTGGAAAAAATATCAGGGAAGTCGCATACATATAGTTATTTCGATTTAGTAGTGTATTTTTTCTAGTTCTTAAAGTTGTTATTTATTAAAATCATTTCAATAACTTTAAACATATACATTGTTTCTGAGTATTATCCATTTCAATCAATGCTATAGTGCAGATTCTTGAGGAGGTGTAATTACATGTTTCAGGTTAATAAATGAAGGACAGATTCCTAGATGCGACTTAGTGGATCATAAAAAAACATGTAATTCTAAATTTTATGGAATACAAATGTTTCTCTTGTTAAAATAACATGTACAATGTCAAAATATATGTGCATTTTAATTAATGATTTTTTTTAAGATCCCTCCAAAGATACTAGGCCAATTTAAATTCCTATCAAGAGTCAATGGGCTCATTTCCCTACACTTTTCCTAGATCTGTATATACCACATTTTTAAATACTTACCTATCTAGAAAGAAAATATTTTTATACTTATATTCTAAATTTACACCCTTACTCATCAGTGGGAATAATTTAATGCTTTTAAGTCATGTTTTTGTAAATCTTATGTCTGTGAACTACTTCTTCAAATCATTGCCTATTTCTTGTTACATGTTCTCTTGCCAATTTCTTGAAATAATTATTAAACATGATAGCTTTTCACTTGTTATGTTGAATTTCTCTAGGATAATAATTATTCTTTATATTTTGTTGTATTTCTTACAGTGTAGACTTTTTAAAAAATATGCAAATTTATCTATATTTTGCTTCAGAGCTTTTGAGAATTGCAAGTTGCCTAGTGAGATCAACCTAAATCCAAGATAACCAGGAAAAACAAATAAATAGAACAACTATTACACTTTCTTCTAGTAGTTGTATTTTTTCAATGTTTACATTTTTGAATTGTTGCTAGTTTGAGTGAATGGAGTTAATGAAGGATTAACATTCCCCACACCCAAAATGCCTGGTCAATGATTATGTTTCAATGATGATATTTTCAAAGCATCTTTGGATATATATTAAGGCTAGTTTCTCCTTATTATAATTTTTTTTTCTTTTTCAGAGTTTCCCTGACTACTTTCATGAGCTTGTTTTCCCATTCCCTGTTTGTACGATACATAGGCTTGATGTAACATACATATAAACTTTCATATTTACCAACTGTCTTTCATATTAAAAAAAATCTCAAAACACATCTGTAAAACAATGTAGTTTGATTAGTACCATTTTAAATGAGAAAACTATGAAAAGGTAAATGAGCATTCCAAGATCTCATAATGGTATCTGTTGGCTAAGGGATTATAACAGGGGAGATTGGGGTTGTACTCCAAACGTTCTAAATCTGTTCCTCTATATCAGTCTGTAAGACTTGTGGTTTATGTCCTCAGACATGCTTTTCTTTGAATGTCATACATTCTTGGAATTGCAATTTGAAAGAAGTTTCTGCACATATATGTGAATTGTGGCATTAAAGTTTTACTATCTGTTGCAAAGATTTGTGATTGTTTTCTCCTCAAGTGGTATATAGTACTTGGAAAGAAAACAAAACAAAAAAAAACTTTATTTCTTTAATACCTGACCCAAGAGAGAAAGAAAGCGAGATTATTTTTGTGTGTATGTTGCTTTAATAATATTCTACTGCCTCACACGTTATTTATTTATTTAGGTAGTTTACCTCAAGAATAATGATCAAACGAGTGAGGTGTGTCTTTTGGATAAGGAGTAAATGAAGCATTCTCCATATAATGAATATTTCCTAAATACCATTAATCGATGACACAGGGACTCTCTTTTGGGCTTTGAGGTTTTAGCAGGAGCTTAGGAACTTGTGTCTTGAGAAGAATCAGTGGTTGAATCATGGCAGGATTTGCCCTTCCTGTCATTGGAATTAGAGGCAGTACCAGCAGTGAATGGTGAAGACTCTAACCCTCATTTCCTGGGTTCAGAATCAGTTCTGCCCCTTTCTATAACATAATTTGCTTAACACACATCTACCTCAGTTTCCTTTTCTGTAAGCCAGGGGTAATAAGAGTGCCAACTTCTTATCACTGTGGTTGGGGTTAAATGAATAAATAAACGTAAACAGCATAGAACACCTAGCTCATAGTAAGTGCTCCCTTATACATACTGTCACCATTATTAGTATCCATATTTCTCTTCAGTTGCAGTAGAGGTGATGGAACCAATGACAACACCCAGGGAAATTTCATCCTTTTGGGGTATTCTGATCGTCCCCATCTGGAGAGAATCCACTTTGTGGTCATCTCGATTGCATATCTCCTGACACTTGTGGGCAATACTACCATAATCCTGGTGTTCCGGCTGGACTTCCACCTCCACACTCCCATGTACTTCTTTCTCACGCACCTCTACTTCCTGGACCTCAGTTTTAGCACAAGCTCCATCCCCCAGCTTCTCTGTAACCTGAGTGGAGGTGACAAGACCATCAGCTACACTGGCTGTGTTGTCCAGCTCTTCCTATTCCTGGGTCTGGGTGGTGTGGAGTGTCTGCTCCTGGCAGTCATGGCATATGTCTGCTTTGTTGCAGTCTGCAAGCCCCTTCAATCCATGGTGATCATGAATCCATGCCTCTGCATGGCCTTGGTGTTGGTGGCTTGGGGCTGTGGGATGGCCATCTCCTTGGCCATGTCCCCAGTTACCCTGCTCTTACCACACTGTGGGAACCACCATGTGGACCACTTCCTGTGTGAGATGCCTGCCCTGATCAGGATGGCCTGTGTCAATACAGCTGCTATTGAGGGCACTGCCTTTGTCCTGGCAGTGGGCATTGTGCTGTCACCTCTGGTACTTATCCTGGTCTCCTATGGCTACATCATGAGGGCAGTGTTACAAATTCAGTCTGTCAGGGAGGCAAAAGGCTTTCAACACCTGTGGCTCCCATCTCACGGTGACCTCACTTTCCTATGGAAACATAATGTACATGTGCACGCAACCTGGGAACAGCTCTTCCCAAGACCAGGGCAAGTTCCTCACCCTCTTCTACAACATCATCACCCCTCTCCTGATCTTCCTGATCTTCACCCTCAGAAACAAAGAGGGGAATGGGGCACTGAGGAGGCTGATGCTGTGTGACGGAGAGGTAGGAAAGAAGTAAGGGAAAAGGGAAAAGACAGGCCTTACCAAGCTGGTTGTCATTTCAGTCAGGGACCAGTGATGGAATCTGGAGCTGTTGGGCCAGATCTGGGCCTGTCATGGGCTTCCAAACTTATGCCTTTATCTAGACTACCATATGTCTGTTTCAGTTACAACATTAAATGTTCTGAGGAGTGCGCTGCACAACACATGTCATCCAAAAACTCCTTTATATGATCTGTAAAGCATACCCAAAGGACAAAGCAGGATAAGTGTGTGATTATAAAGATAAGTTCCCATAATGTGTACCAGAGTGCGAAGGAGGAAACTACTTTTCTCCAACAGACTTTGTTTCTGTACTTGTTTGTCAATGCATTAACAACTTTCTTAGGATTTCAGACAGAATGATCACAATTAACCACTTCTCTTGGCTGACAGCCATCAAATAGGGGAGGTCAGCATGGCTGGTTGTTTTATATTTCCTAAATTCCCATCAAAGGCTTTAATCAAATTATGTTGTTTTTCTGCCTTTTTCCCAACATTTGGCATTTTCCATAAAGTCTGGTGAAGATTCTGATAAACCAGGAAGTTAAACTATAACAATGATGCATGTGTACTTTAAACTTTAAAGCATCACTATTTCTCAGGTATGTTTTTATTAATAAGCAGGACCTAGTGTTTATTATGTTCCTGCTCTGAGTCAGGTGCTCATAATTCATCTACTCCTCTCTGCATTTGTGTGAGGTCAGTATGATGCTCTCTGTCCCTGTTTTACCCATGTGGTACTTGAGGCTTGGAGATTAAATCATTTGCTCAAAGAGAACTGAACCAGAGATTTACTCCAAGTTCTGTGACTGTCAATTCCTGTTGTTTCTATAGCTCCATGAATTTTTTTTTAATTTTTATTTTTTTCGGACGTACATCATATTTCGAATTCTGTATACATCATATCATGTTCATCACCTGAACACTAATTATAGTGCATCCCCTCACATGTGACCCTAATAACCCCTTTTGCCCTCCCCCCGGCCCCCTTTCCCAATGGTAACCACCAGTCCAGTCTCCAATGCTATGTGGGCTTTTTTTGTCATTTTTATCTTCTACATATGAGTGAGATCATATGGTATTTGACTTTCTCCCTCTGACTTATTTCACTCAGCATAATACCCTCAAGGTCCATCCATGTTGTCACAAATGGCCAGATTTCGTCATTTCTTATGGCTGAGTAGTAGTCCATCGTGAATAAATACCACATCTTCTTTATCCATTTGTCCCTTGATGGGCACCTAGGTTGCTTCCAAGGCTTTGCTATTGTGTATAATGCTGCAATGAACATAGGGGTTCAAGTATCTTTATGCCTTTGTGTTTTCAAGTTCTTTGGACAAATACCCAGCAGTGGAATACCTGGATCATATGGTAGATCTATCCTTAATTTTCTGAGGATACTCCAAACTGCTTTCCATAGTGGCTGTACCAGTTTGCACTGCCACCAGAAGTGAACAAGGGTCCCATCTCTCCACACCCTCTCCAACATTTGTTGTTTCCTGTCTTGTTAATTATAGCCATTCTGGCCAGAGTGAGGTGATACCTCACTGTAGTTTTGATTTGCATTTCCCTGATAGCTGATGATGTTGAGCATCTTTTCATATGACTGTTGGCCATCTGTATATCTTCTTTGGAGAAATCTCTGTTCAGATCTTTTGCCCATTTTCTAATTGGATTGTTGTTTTTTTCGTTGTTGAGCTGTATGAGTTCTTTGTATATTTTGGATATTAACCCCTTATCTGATATGCAGTTTGCAAACATCTTCTCCCAATTGTTAGGTTGTCTTTTCATTTTGTTGATGGTTTCCTTTGCGGTGCAGAAACTTTTAGTTGGATGTAGTCCCATTTGTTCATTTTTTCTTTTGTTTCCCTTGCCCGGTCAGACATGGAACTTGAAAATATGCTGCTCAGACCAATGTCATAGAGCGTACAGCCTATGTTTTCTTCTAGAAATCTCATGGTTTCGGGTCTTACATTCAAGTCTTTAATCCATTTTGAGTTGATTTTTGTGCATGGTGTAAGGGAATGGTCTACTTTCATTCTTTTGCATGTGGCTGTCCAGTTTTCCCAACACCATTTATTGAAGAGACTCTCCTTTCTCCAGCATATGCTCTTGGCTCCCTTGTCAAATATTAGCTGTCCATAAACGTGTGGGTTTACTTCTGGGCTCTCAATTTTGTTCCATTGATTTGTGTGTCTGTTTTTGTGCCAGGACCATGCTGTTTTGGTTACTATGGCTTTGTAGTATAATTTGAAATTGGGGAGTGTGATACCTCCAGCTTTGTTATTTTTTCTCAGGAGTCCTTTGGCTATTCGGGGTCTTTTGTAGTTCCATATAAATTTTAGAATTCTTTGTTTTATTTCTGTAAGAAATGTTGTTGGAACTTTTATAGGGATTGCGTCAAATCTATAGATTGCTTTAGGAAGTATGGACATTTTAACAATGTTAATTCTTCCAATCCAAGAGCACGGAATATCTTTCCATTTCTTTGTGTCTTCTTCGATTTCTTTCAACAATGTTTTACAGTTTTCAGTGCACAGATCTTTCACCTCTTTCGTTAAGTTTCTTCCTAGGTATTTTATTCTTTGTGTTGCAATTGTAAATGGGATTGTATTCTTAATTTCTCTTTCTGCTACTTCGTTGTTAGTGTATAGAAATGCAACCGATTTTTGTACATTGATTTTGTATCCCGCAACTTGACTGTATTCCTTTATTATTTCTAAAAGCTTTTTAGTGGACTTTTTAGGGTTTTCTAGATATAAAATCATGTTGTCTGCAAAGAGTGACCAGTTTCACTTCTTCTTTTCCACTGTGGATCCGTTTTATTTCTTTTTCTTGCCTGATTGCTCTAGCTAGGACTTTCAATACTATGTTAAATAAGAGTGGTGACAGTGGGCATCCTTGTTTGGTTCCTGTTCTTAGAGAGATAGCTTTCAGTTTTTCTCCATTGACAATGATTTCTGCTGTGGGTTTGTCATATATGGCGCTTATTATGTTGAGGTATTTTCCTTCTATGCCCATTTTATTTAGAGTTTTTATCATAAATGGATGCTGTATCTTGTCAATTGCTTTCTCTGCATCTATTGAGATGATCATGTGGTTTTTATTCTTCATTTTGTTAATGTGGTGTATCACGTTGATAGATTTGCGGATGTTTAACCATCTCTGCATCCCCAGAATGAAACCTACTTGATCATGATGTATGATCTTTTTAATGTATTGTTGTATTCAATTTGCTAGAATTTTGTTGAGGATTTTTGCATCGATGTTCATCAGTGACATTGGCCTATAATTTTCTTTTTTTGTGTTGTCCTTCTCTGGTTTTGGTATCAGGATAATGTTTGCTTTGTAGAAGGAGTTAGGAAGCCTCCCCTCCTCTTCAATTTTTTGGCAGAGTTTGATAAGGATAGGTATTAAGTCTTCTTTGAATGTTTGGTAGAATTCACCAGGGAAGCCACCTGGTCCTGGACTTTTATTTTTCGGGAGGTTTTTAATTGCTGTTTCGATCTCCTTACTGGTGATCGGTCTATTCAAATTTTCTATATCTTCTTGGTCCACTTTTGGAAGGTTGTATGTTTCTAAGAATTTATCCATTTCTTCTAGATTATCCAATTTGTTGGCGTATAGCTTTTCATAGTATTCTCTTATCTTTTGTATTTCTGAGGCGTCCGTTGTAATTTCTCCTCTTTCATTTCTGATTTTATTTATTTGAGTCTTCTCTCTTTTGTCCTTGGTGAGTCTAGCTAAGGGTTTGTCAATTTTGTTTATCTTTTCAAAGAACCAGCTCTTGGGTTCATTAATTTTTTCTATTGTTTTTTTTAGTCTCTATTTCATTTATTTCTGCTCTGGTTTTTATTATTTCCTTCCTTCTGCTGATTTTGGGCTTTGCTTGTTGTGCTTTTTCCAGTACCTTTAGGTGCACTTTTAGATTGTCTATTTGGGATTTTTCTTCTTTGTTGAGGTAGGCCTGAATTGCTATAAACTTCCCTTGTAGAACTGCTTTTGCTGTATCCCACAGATTTTGGCATGTCGTGTTTTCATTTTTATTTGTCTCCAGGAGTTTTTTTAGTTCTTCTTTGGTTTCTTCATTGACCCAATCATTGTTCAGTAGCATTTTGTTCAATCTCCACATTTTTGTGGCTTTTCTGGTCTTCTTTCTGTAGTTAATTTTCAGTTTCATACCTTTGTGGTCAGAAAAGATGCATGGTATTATTTTGATCTTCTTAAGTTTATTGAGACTTGTTTTGTGGCCTAATATGTGATCAATCCTGGAGAATGTTCCATGGGCATTTGCAAAGAATGTGTATTCTGTGGTTTTTGGATGCAATGTTCTGTATATATCTACGAAGTCCATCTGGTCTAATGTGATCTTGAAGGTGAGTGTTTCCTTATTGATCTTCTGTTTGGATGATCTATGCATTGGTGTAAGTGGAGTGTTAAAGTCCCCTACTATTATTGTGTTATTGTCTATTTCTCCTCTTATGTCTGTTAATAATTGCTTTATATGTTTAGTTGCTCCTATATTGGGTGTGTAGATATTTACAAGTGTTATATTTTCTTGTTGGATTGTTCCCTTTATCATTATTAGTGCCCGTCTTTGTCTCTTATTACAGTTTTTGATTTAAAGTCTGTTTTGTCTGATATAAGTATTGCTACCCCCACTTTCTTTTCTTTGCCATTTGCATGGAATATCTTTTTCCATCCTTTCACTTTCACTTTGTGAGTGTCTTTAGGTCTGAAGTGTGTCTCTTGTATGCAGCATATACATGGGTCTTGTTCTTTCATCCAGTTGGCCACCCTATGGCATTTGATTGGAGCATTTAGTCCATTGACATTTAAAGTAGCTATTGATAAATATGTATTTATTGCCATTTTGTCACTTTCTTTTTTTCTGGGTGTTTTAGTGATTCTTCTCTGTTCCTTTCTTTTTATCTTGCTCTCTTCCCTTGTGGTTTGATGGCT